CGCGCGCGCATGCGCGCATGTGTATGTATATATTTGAGTGTGTTGTGCATATATGTGTATGGGTGAGGGCACATGTGCATTGCACATATTTGTGGAGGCCAAAGGTTGGCATTGTGTGTCTTCCTCAATTACGCTCCACCTTATTTTTTGTGATAGGTTCCCTCACTGGGCCTGGAGTTCACCGATTTGGCTAAACTGGCTGACCAGCAAACCCCAGGGGTTCTCCTATCTGGACCTCCAGCACTGGGATCACAGGCAGGTGCCATTACCCCCAGCTTCTAGCATGGATGCTGGGGATCTGTATTAGTCAGGGTTCTCCAGAGGAAGAGAACTGATGGAATCAATGTGTGTTTATGTGTTAAAACAGCAGCACATCCCTTTAATCCCAACACTCAGGAGGCAGAGGCAGGAGGATTTCTGTGAGTTCGAGGCCAGCCTGGGCTACAGAGTGAGTTCCAGAACAGCCTGGGCTACAACAGAGGAACCCTGTCTCGAGAGAGCAGAATAAATAAATATATTTTTAAGTTTACTTATTTTACTTTATGTGTATGAGTATTTTGCTTGAATGCATGTCTGTGCACCACCTGTGTGCTTATCGCCTGCAGAGGCCATCAGATCCCTGGAACTGGGGTTGTGGACAGTTGTGAGCTCCCTTATGGGTACAGGGAACTGAGCCCGGGTCCTCGGCAGGAACAGCAAGTGCTCTTAACCACTGGCTGTCTCTCCAAAATAACTCTTTAAAATAATTAATTAGACCAGTGTGGTGGCACATGCTTTAATCCTGTGGCTCAGGAGGCAGAGGCAGGTGGCTCTCTGTGAGTTCAAGGCCAGCCTGGCGTAGATAGTGAGTTCTGGGGCTATGTAGAGAGACTCTGCCTCAAAACTAAATAAGTAAGCAAATAAATTAGGGGAGAAAGGGTTTGCTTTGACTCCTAGCTTGGTGGCTGTGCAGCACCAGGTTAACTTCGGGTGGAAGCATATGCCTGATTGTGGCAAGCGTCCTTTACTGTACAAACCTTGACTATGAACATAGTGAGTCCTCTGAGTTCTATGGAGCCAGAGGGTTTTGGTATGGATGTCCAGCTGGCTGGCTGGGCATTCAAAGCCGATCACTGATGAGCCAGCACGGTTATGTTGGCCCTGCCCTATCCCTACACCAGAAGAGTTTCTGGCCGTCCCCATGTAGTGTGTAGGGCACACTGCGTGGCTGCTGGCCAAGTACAGGGTTCTAAGCCCTGTCTATGCTCAGATAGGGCCAGCCTTTGTTGAGTGCATTCAGCAAAAAAACACCACTTCTAACAACACGTAACACATTGCTAGGCTCCAAGCCAGTGTACCCTGAGGCCTGCTTGTGAGCTTTCCTAGGGTTGCTGGCTAAGAGCCAGTGCCTTGGTCCTAGAGAAAGCTGTCAATACATGAGAGGAGGCATCCAGCACTGGGCTCAGACAAGAAACGGATGGCTGTGGTTCACTGGCTGAGGCACCACATGAAAGAGTGTTATGGGACCTGTCAGGGGTTCAAGCTGGGAGTAGGTGGCCAAGCAAGGCTCTCACTCTGCTGCTTCTCCCCTAGGGGGCGCCACTGAGCCTGGAGCGGCTGGAAGCGAGGCTTTCGGCTCCCGGCTGCAGAGAGGCAGCCATGGGTTTGCAGGGCCCCATGCCGCTGGTGGTGCTGCTGCTGGTGTGCGTGGTGCTGGGGGAGTCTGGTGAGCTAAGGAGATGCATCCACCCGGACTGGGGATGATGGGGGAGCACGGGGAACGCGGAGGTCCACTGAAACTCACCTTCTCACCTCCACCCAGGATCGCGCGAAGAAAGCCAGGCGTCAGGTGAGGAAACGTCATCCCTGTTGAGGAACACCTGCAGAGGCTGAGCATGCAGAGGTCGCCTCATCTTTTGCACTCCTCTCCCACAGGTCTCAAGAACACCACAAACAGGCTCCTCTCAGGTGACTGATGGCCACTGTGGAGGGCTGGGGGTCTGCAAACCACGAGGGAAGGGTTCCAGCCGCATCTCAGGATATTGGAGGAAGGGGGTGTATGGTTACGCGGTTCTCCCCAGCCCCTTCCCAACACGGGTACCCTGGGGACGCCATGGGCCTGCCTGGGCAGCTCAGCCAGGTGTCTTGTGTGTCTGACCCAGTGCCGTGTGGCCGCCGGAACGACATCCAGTCACTGATAGTGGGCGGGGCAGAATCCGTGCAAGGGCGCTGGCCGTGGCAAGCCAGTCTGCGCTGGAAGAAGTCCCACCGCTGTGGAGGGAGCCTCCTCAGCCACCGATGGGTGCTCACTGCCGCACACTGCGTTATAAAGTGAGTCTGGGATGGCAGGAGCCCCCTAGGGCAGTGATCTTGAACTAGCCTCCGGATATCCTGAGCGCCAAGTTGAGCCGCAGCTGGTCACAGTCAGCTAATCTTCCTCGTTGCCCCCTGTGGGGAAAGCTGTTCTGATTCTTCCAGGGTGTTTACTGAAACATTCCCATGTGGGTATGGGTATATTCGTTTGTAGGAAGACGCAGCCTCCTTCCACCTCCCCTTGGAGGAGGAGGCAGATGTTAGGCCCAGGCCAAGGTCGGCTGGTTGGTTTTAAGGTGGTATAGCCCAGGTTGGCCTTGAACTTTATATATAGCGAGGATGATTCATTCTCTTGCCTCTACCTGCCGGCATGCTGGGATCACAGGCATGGAGCACGGTGCTGCTCTGTACACTGCGGGGATCAAACCCCGCACTTGTGCTCAGGGAGTGCACTCTGTCAGCTGAGTTACAGCGTCAGCCCATACCAGATGTTTATTCTGTCCAGGCCCCACAGCAGCCCCTCCATCTTCTGAGTCATCTTTGGGTTGCAGTGATGAGACCAGTGGGGCCAGTGGTCTTCCTGTTCCTCTCAGAGTGTCCAGGAGCAGGGAATCTGGTTATGGCCTGTCTAGGCTCTGTTCCTACAAGGGGTCCTTTGACCCAAAAGATTTGGTAATGACTAAGGATGAGCAAATAAGTAGTATTAGCCCCACGGTGTCACCTCGTACAGGGGTCCAGTGGGCTCGGGTGGCCAGCATTCTTCCCTCCGGGGGGTCCTGATTCCTTTCTTCTTCCCCATTAGGCACCTTGATCCAGGAAAGTGGAGAGTCCAGCTTGGGCAGCTTACTTCCAAGCCTTCTCTCTGGAACAGGAAGGCCTATTCTGGCCGGTACAGGGTAAAGGACATCGTTGTAAACTACAAAGACACAAGGAAGTTTCACGACCTGGCCCTGCTGAGGCTGGCCTCCTCAGTCACCTATAACAAGGACATCCAGCCCATCTGTGTCCAGCCCTCCACCTTCATGTTCCAGCACTGGCCCAGCTGCTGGGTGACTGGCTGGGGAGTCCTTGAGGAGAGCATGAGTGAGACTAGGGACGGAAGGGGTGGGCATGTGGGTGGGCTAGCTTTGTTCCTTGTTTTAACCACAGGAGGCCCAGACTCTGGCCTCTGGAGATCTGCAGGTCTCCTGCCTGCCTGCTGGCCCACCAGTCTCAGCTTCTCTCCTGCCGGGAGCTCCAGTGGCCAGATAGACATGCAGCAGAGGGGCGCTTAGGTGGCCCCCCGCACTCCCCAGCCAGCCAGGATGGGTGCACAAGGCCTTCTGGGGAAAGTCTCCTTTACATTGAGATTTACTTTACAACTCCAAAATATGGACGTGCACAGTGCCACAGTGTGTGGTTCAGTGGTCAGTAGTGCAGTCACGAAGCTGGGACACTGTGACCACTGTCACCAGTCCAAATCCTAACTAGGTGACCCTTCAACACTTTAGCTCCCAAGATCAGGCATATTCAGAGTGGTAAGGCCGCAGACTGTCACCACTTCTAATTACAACATCGTCATCATTTCAAACAGAAAGCCTGCCAGCCTGGTCTACAGAGCTAGTTCTAGGACATCCAAGGCTACACAAACAAACCCTGTCTCAAAACAAAACAAGCCTCAGCAGGCATGGTGGTGTAGGTTGAGGGCAGGAAGGTCAGGAGTTCAAGTCTATCCTTGACTCCATATCCTGGACTACAAAGCAGGCTTGAGACCAGCCTGTACTACAGGACTGCATGTAGCCTTGTCTCAAAAACAAAGTGGGAAACCTCATACCCCTCCGTCATTTCTTTCAGTCTCCTCATTCCCCTAGATTCTGTAGTCCTGGTAGCCCAGACCTGCTTCCTGTCTCTTTGGATTTGCCGGCTCTGGAATACAATCAGAGAAGAGGGCCTTTTCTGCTGGATTTCTTTCATGTAATTAGTGTCTTCAATGTGGCAATTAGTCGCCCCCATGTGGCATTTGTGGGTACTGCTTCTCTTTAAACTCGAATTCACATACCATTAAGGAATCACCTAAAGAATATATACCCCATTTCGTGTGCTCACAATACTGTTCAGCCAGAGATCTTCACTCCCGCCCAGCTTTTACTCCTCATTAGCCCCTCCCTACAGCCCCTGATAACCACAACCCAGCTTTCTGAGCATGCAGCCCTCCTTTTCAGATACTGTCCATAGAGGGAGTATAGTTTGTGGTCCTGTGAGTCTGGCTTCTTTCACATACCATCCCATCTTTAAGAGTCAACCTTTTTTTGTTCTTTCTTTAAAAAGAACTATGTCATTTACTCTGTGTGCATGTGTGTTATATATGTGTTGTATTTGTATGTATGAGCATGAGTGGTGTGTGTGTGTGTGTGTGTGTGTGTGTGTGTGAAAGAGAGAGAGAGAGAGAGAGAGAGAGAGAGAGAGAGAGAGAGAGAGAGCAACTTACAAAAGGAGTTGGTTCTCTTCTTCTATTAAGTGGGTCCTGGGGATTGAACTTGGGTCATCGGGCTTTGCCTTTGCCCACTGAGCCCTCTCACCAGCCCCTGCTTCTCTTTCTTACCTAATTGCTCTGGCTGAAACTTCCAGGGTATAGAGCGCAGAAAAGAGGCATCCCCACCTCATCATGGCTCCTGGAGGGAAAGCATGCTGTCTTTCACTTTGAGCACGGTTTAGCTGTGGCTTTGTGGAGGTTGGTTTCCTTTGGATCCTGGCTTGCTTAGTACTATTATCACAAAAGAGCACTGAATTTTGTATTTGGAGGGGGGGATGCATCTTCATATGTATGTGCAGATCTCTGAGCATACAAGTATGCATGCACATGTGTACAGAGTCTAGAGGTCAGAATTGAGTGTCTTCCTCAATTGCTCTTCACCTCAGGGATTTTTTAGGGGTTTTTTGTTGTTGTTGTTGTTGTTGTTTGGTTGGTTGGTTGGTTTTTTGTTTTTTGTTTTTTTTGTTGTTGTTGTTTTGTTTTTTTTTTTTGTTTTTTTGTTTTTTTGTGAGACAGGGTTTCCTGTGTTGTTTTGATGCCTGTCCTGGATCTCGCTCTGTAGACCAGGCTGGTCTCGAACTCGCAGAACCAGGCTCTGCTTCCCTAGTGCTGGGATTAAAGGTGTGTACCACCACCACCTGCCCACTTAGTTTTTTTGCATACATAAAGGGTACATACATAAAAACATATACATTGTTAAATTTACTTATTTGGGGCAGGGGCACTTGCATACAACAGCATGCACGTGATGTCAGAGGACAAGTAGCAGGAATCAGTTCTCTCCTGTCACCGTGTGGGCTCTGGGGACAGAACTCAAGTCCCCAGGTTCAGCAGTAAACACCTTCCCAGATAAGCTGTCTTGATGGCACCAAATCTGGTTGGTTTTGTTTGTTTCTTTGAGTCAGAGTCTCCGGCTGAACCCGACCCTTGCTGGTTCTGCTAGACCAGCTGCCTAGGAACCAGAGAGATCCTCTGTCTCCGCCTCCCCACACTGGTTACAGACCCACGCTGCCATGCCTGGCTGTTGAATTCTGCTTTTGTTCTGCGAAAGAGTGCAGAATTGGGCCAAATGCTTCCTCTGCACGGACGGAGACTGTTCTTTCTTCCTTCTGTCAGTGTGTGTCTCTGCCGTGTTGATTTTCCTGTGCAGAGCCCTCACGTCTGGTGGGACCTTGTGCCTGCTCATGGATGGAAGCCCTTTCCCGCACTGACGGGCTCGGATGCACATGCATTCGTTTCTTTTTTCATTATTTATCTATTGTGACAGGGTCTCTACAAAGTCCTGGCTGTTCTAGAACTCGCTCTGTAGACCAGGCTGGCCTCAAACTCAGAGATCTGCCTGCCTCTGCCTCCCGAAAGCTGGGATTAAAGGTGTGCACCAGCATGCCCTGCTTTAGGATATTCATGAGGGGTCTTGAGGGTTTTTTGTTTTTTTTTAGTTTTAAATGAACAT